GACCATATCATGATGTGGCGGCTTGTGTACCTTGGCGACCCACTGAGCTATACTGGGGGTGTCCGCGAGACACTCAGTCTCATACCAGGTTGATCCATGGGTAGTGGTCTGATGAACACAGTCTCCTGGCTCCAGGTTGGGGGGTGGAACATATGTGCCGACGTGTTCCGTAGAAATGGTAATATACTTACATTTCCAGCCGAACACCTCTATCTTGCGGTTGAGCTTTAAAGAGCCGAAGGCTTTGGTTGAGGACCCTAATCGTCCTCCTGTCTAGGTGTGAGCGCCCTGGCAGTATCCTAACCCTCGTACAACCACGACATTCACAACCAACAATACTCTCATGCCACATCGGCCGTCGCATGGTGCGGTCAGCCGGATCGCCTTATTTGCTGGGCGGATAAGCGAAAGCATCTTGCACGCGCCTCCCTTCTTACACTCTCACCTTTTCCGTCTTCCACCCCCCTCGCCCAAATTTGAATACTTTCTCCGCAGGTCCCATCTCTAGGACTGACCGTTTTCCTCACCATGCATCACACTCAGCTGCAGCTTCTGTGCGTCCGAGTTTAGTCAATCCTAAACGCTTCGAAGGTTTTACTTTCGCACACACATGACACTGCTTAATGACAAGCCGGATGTCCTCTATGGAAAATAAGGGATTTTCGGCAGGAACGAACTGCCACAGGATGGCACAGCTGCGTGTAATCGTTTTAGATCCAGCTGAGATGAACTGTTCGCATAGACACTCCGGTAGAGCGTGGTGCCTCCATTTGCGCACGCTTATTTCTCAATAGCAGAATGATGTTTTTTTCGCTGGCAGACAGTGAATGTGAAAAGAATGCGACAGGCCTGCCTCGATTGAGTGTACCGCAACACCAGGGGGATCACTTTCGGGTATCAAAGGTAATCTCGGATCGATAGTAGCCATTTCTGCACCCACCAACTCTTCTGATAGTTTCAAACGCTTTCATAACAGATTCAGGGACTGGAAAGGTTGTGTTGTGATGTGTTTGGGTAGACTTTATCGGGGAAACGGCTTATCCAACGAGAATAGTACGTGAACATGCCAACTACACGTTGAGACTTCTTGTCCTTCAAAACGGGCAGTTCTTGCTAGACAAACTGTTCATGGTCTAGTTTGATGATACTTTCAGCAATTTCATAGATAAGGAGTCTGAGTTTAGTGTTGGAGATTGTCATGATTTGACTGAAGTCAGAACTCTTGTGCTACGGCGAGAATACACTGGAGGTTTTGATCGTGTTCTTGATTCCACAAATGGCATATATCCCGGTAACTTTTTCCGCGCGTATTATCTCATCCATTATCCTTTGAAAGCACGCTACTCCATTCGTTGCTCCCGAAAGTACTCGGCGAAATTGATAAAAATTGCTGCAATCCTTGAAAGCTGTGTAGATTCTGCCACTTAATGGATTTTGGATGGTACGCACTTTCAAGATCATGGGTGCTGAAAATACGACCTTAAGCTATTTTACTACTCATATCCTCAATTATGAGGAGCGGATAAGCGTCTAATTGCGTGAATCGGTTTCTAGTTTGACTACTGTCAACCACCATTCGTTTCTCTTGTCGCTCCTATTTCGTGACGAGTGCTCGCGCTATCCATAGAGACTGAGGGTTCAGTGTCGGTCGAGTAAACGCTTTAATTCAGAGGCAATCAAGGTCTTGCCGTCTGAGAATGTCGTTTGGACTTTATGGCTTTCACCTTGGATCAAGGCGCGCAAAGTGGGAGGTTCGATTTTCGCAGCGATTAGACTACAGAGCTAGAAAGGTTTATCACTGTTGAATGAGATTCTCAGGGATATGTGAAGGTTTCGAAAATCATGTCGTAGTAGAATATCTGCATAGAGATCACGTAATACTGAAAACTTTAAAAGAGAGACGTGTTCATGCTGGAGCGAGGTGGCTCAAGTGGTTAGAGCGGGAAGGTGCTGACTGGAAGGTCCGTGGTTCAAACTCGACCTCCCCTGTCTAGACTTGGGCAACTGTTAGGCAGGAATCCACGCGGATCCCATTATACCGCACGTCTTGCAGTATCCCAACCCTCGTGCTTCCTTCGGGTGGTATGGCAGCTAGGCACCAGGAGGGTCATACAGCTGGACGATTTTTTTATGTCGCGATGTTGAAAAGCTATGTCCAAGAGTAAAAATGTTTTGTGCTGCGTGGAAGCCAAAGTGATCTCAGATGACGATGGTAGCACAGACCACTTGTTGCTACAGACTACATTTTCGAAAGCAAAACTTTCTGTATTACCGGTATCAAGAAGTACTCGAAGTGAGACGCCACATCGGCGACTGTTTCTTTGAGACACTGGGGTGGTGCCGCTGCAGTGACGAAAGATAGCGTACTTAAAACATAAAAATGCCCTTTATATGGTTTTCACAAGTCACAGCTTTAGCGGGGCATTCATAACGCGGGTGACGAGCATAGCCACGTAAGAAACATGAAGGCCTCATATTAGTAGCAGTCATTCCCTCATTCCTTGAGAACGTGGAGACCTTGGTAGCACTGGGGAGTTGATCGTTCGGCAAGAACGGTTGCGACTGTTTCTGCGCTAGTTCGACGGATTTCGCATGTTAGGCGGTTTTAAAATCCAGCGACTTATGTTCCAGAGGTCTCTGACGTATAGTATTCGAATAAAGCCCACTAATAAGTGGGTTTTTCAATGCTAGGTCGCTATGTTGTTCTGCTCTGACTGTCGTAAAGCGGCAATCTGACATGAACCTGACCAACCTTATCTCCGTTCTGCTTTCAAATATTCACTAGATGCTGGCTGCAAGGTTGCAATAGCAACGTAATTGAACGAGGTTTTCAGTTCATCTGGTGAATGAGAAGCAATTTATTCCAGGAAACTCGCGAAAGTACAAAACCGGTGCTCCCAGAAATCAGAATAGGAATAGGAAAGACGGAGGGCCCAGTAGCTAGGCTTCATTCATGCAAAACTTCGACACAGCTGAAACGGGAAAAGTGATTTAGTAATGCACAACGAAACGTTTGAAAAACAGAGCAAATGTACATGCTGATGGTGGATAATACCAGAGAATACTGGTATATTAACATACTCTGGAATAGATTCGTTACAAATATCGATAGAGGCCGTCTTTCCCAGCATCAGAGCTGTCGTCTGTCGGAGCGTATCCTGACGACAAGAAAAACACCCCCGTCGAGATGCATTGATCTTAACTGACCCAGTCAGCCTAGCAGCGCAAAGACGACTATTCGGTGAATACGGCTCATTCAGCCCTGCAGCTAAGAACAAGTCCCATGCTATCACTGTTCATTACATCAGGACCACCAGACACCAGAAGAGTAAACTACTAGAAATGTGGGTTCGTCCCGACCGGTTTGAAGGTTATGATCGAACTGGGGTCGATCGAGAGCACAAGGTCTGACCAAGAGCTAGCTGTTGCCCAACTCGACACAGCACGTAAGTTAGAAGCAGAACTGTGGAGCGGATCCTTTGTGTTTCATAAGGGTTTGTTCTCATTTATTTTACTGAGCAAAAGCTAAGATGCAAATCAATGGTTAGATAATTTACAGCTTATCAGATTGAGACTTAGGTAAGGGACGGGTTGGAAGTCAATGAATGAAGACCTGTAAAGGTGAATGTTACTTTTCAACCCAGAGAAGAGGGTTTGGTTGAGGTGTACCACTTTGGGCCTTCGACACAAAAGTCTGACCCACTTTGCAGTAGGATAGTGCATGATTTTGCTCGGGAACCGTCCCCTTCTTATTCAAAAGCCTGAACCGCGAAGTAGCATTTGTACAGGTTTTTCGTTGAGGTACACTTCCCGAAGCCAATGGCGCAATACTCACCCATTTGCGCTCACAGGACTATCCTGCTCTTAATGCGGCTGCGCACGGCAGGTGCCTTCTGAACAGTACCATGTCCTTTGGTCTTGAAATCATGTCGACCGTATTGGATGATGCGCTGATGGTCACGGTCAGTCGGCGTGTGCGGGTTTTAGGGCCTACCTCTTCTAACACGTCCTTCCTCAGAAGGCAGCATCGCTGCTTCCATGAACATGAGCATGCTTGTTGTCCGGAGGAAGCGCCTTACTGCCTTCACACTCCCACCGCAGATCGCAGTACGACCTACTCTGCAGGCCACTTCGTGCGGGAAATCGCTGTTTATCAGGCTGCCCCTCGTGGGCCCTCTGGAACTATGATGGCGCACGCAGACCCCGTAAAATCAGGGTGAACAATGACGGAGAACACTGGTGGCCTGTGACGGGCCAGCGACTGGAGGAGGCTTTCGGTGCAGGCAACGCTGCGCCCTATTTCCAGCTGATTCAATCAAGTGGCTAACAAATGGGTGTCAGCTAAACAATATTCGAAAAATTCAATGCGCCAATTCGGTCGCAAAATCGTAGTTTTCAGAAGACGCAAAAACGTGGAACAAGGATTATCATGGCATTAGCCTAGTAGTTGTGACTAGGTTCTCCAGGGCATTCCCGTCCCCTCAGAGCAATATACAACACGAAATAAATGACCTTGCCTGGTTATATCTTTCTCGCTCCCATTTCCCAGTTATCGAAACTGTAGCGGGTGGAACCAACGTGCCCTTGATGCGTATCGTTTACAGCCGTTAACCTGAACTGTCGCTCTAATTTCTGTTCAACATCATTGTGCGAAAGAAACTCCCGACTGGTCATAAAGTCTGGTACAGGTAACGACCTGCATACCCACAGTTTATCGTTGTGTGCGGGATTTGTGTTGTTGATGTAGGTTCTTTTCGATCTCATATCAGGTGCTTTCGGTTTAGTCCTGTTGGGAGGTTTAAGTACGTTTCTCCTCACTTCTGGAATTCAGTGACGACTTTTTCCCTATCGGGTTGTAGTCGTATGGCAGGTACCAATACATATTATTGTTTGGCTGTTAATGGTTGGTTCTGTGTAATTAGAGGTCACACTGATCAACGATAATCCACCTCCATATCAGCCCATCTCAATAATTTGGGGCATGTTTCCTTCTATCAGGTATCGCACGAGATAGAATCCATAAAAGGTCCAAGAGTGGAGCTCGACGTGAGCGCAACAGAAAGAAGAGGAAGTTCGAAATGGGGCGTCCGGCTGCGATGACAAAGTTGGGCCCGAAGCGTGTCCATACTGTCCGTGTTCGTGGAGGAAATTTCAAATTCAGAGCTATGCGCTTAGATCAAGGGAACTTCAGCTGGCCATCACAAGCAATCTCCCGGAAAACTCGCATCATTGATGTTGTTTATAATGCCTCTAATAATGAATTAGTTCGCACAAAAACCTTGGTTAAGAATGCCATTGTCCAGATTGATAGTGCACCTTTTCGCCAGTGGTTTGAAGCTCACTACCTCAAAGAACTTGGCCGTCGGAAAGCCCCAACCGGCAAGGCTTCTCAGGCTGCCACAGCCGAAAGTGCAGAAGAGGACGTTTTGCAGAAACAACGCAGCAAATCTGCAATGAAAAAGTACGAGGCGCGACAAGCCCTTCCCCAAGCCAATGTCGAAGAAGCGCTGAAAGATCAGTTTATTTCCGGAAGGCTACTAGGTTAGTTTCTCCTGTGTCTCTACAGCTTGCTTTGTAGCTTGCATATCCTCGAGGCCGGGACAAGTCGGTCGAGCAGATGGATACATTCTCGAGGGCAAGGAGTTGGAGTTCTATTCAAAGAAACTGAAGGCAAAGAAATCTAAGTGATTGAATAATTTGAATAAAAGTTTCTGAGGTGCTTTGTTATTTTTTCACTGGAGTTTGCTTTAATCAGTATCTAGAATCCATGGGTGTATTGTGAGCAAAATTAACTACCCTAAGCTAACCCTTTATACGGCCTAGCACGTTTTCGGCTGTCCCTTCACTTTGATGCCAATTATTCTTACATAATATGACGCTACAACCAGTTGGGATAGGTAATACACCGTATTGTCATTCTGTCGAAATATTAGTAGCTCGGGTGTTTACTGGTCGTTGATCAGATAACTGTTAAAGTATCGTCGATGCGCAGGTGAGTGAGCGGATTCACGCATGACGACGTCTCCTCGACTGGGGACGGAACGTTCGCAAGCCAATTGTTGAGCGTGGCCAACAACCGGCACCGGTAAAATGCTAGTTCGCAACCTGCTCTTGTATTCAAACTTACTGGTTGACGAGTGTCCATGCACAAGTAGTGGCCCATCTATCAGATTGAGTTCATCTACACTAGTGTTTCTGAATTTTAGTTCATATTTTGATCATTGTGTTCCAGAATGAGCGGTCATAATCAGAGACCCTCAGTGAACGGCGTAAAAACTGTGGATTTGGTCAAGAAGCACACAGGCGTTTGAAGAGCTAATTTTTAAGAACCTGGTAACAATGTCATGAAGGGTTCCTCTCCGGGAATCAAGGTGGAGACAAACATATTTATGCACTGGTCCAAAGTTGATAGGTATGATTTAGCGTGGTTAGGTCGGTTGTACTGTTAAGGAATGACGAGGCCAGCTGAGCTGGTCATTGTCGTCTTCCTGGATGGGGACCCCGAGATGGGCCATATCAATGGTTAGAGGCCCAGTCGCGCCCTCAATGACGCTCATGTATCCAAGCTATTGCATTCAACGCATCGCCCCCTTCCCAACCCCACTTAGCAGTCCACCTACAGTGCTGTATTTACGCACGAATTTATCAGCTCCCGCCTCCAATGCGCAGTTACCCACGCCACCCCGAATCATCGGTGAACGAAGCTGGCAGCTACAAGGTGAGAGGCCCACGGTCGGAGAGGGTGAGGGTGTCGTTTTATTTTGCCTAAGGTCGAGTAACGTAAGGCGAGAGTAAATCCTAGTACAGAGCGGTATTGTCCTCTAGCGCGAATTAAAATACACTGGCGGTATACACGAGTTTGCTCGGCTATCCGGGAACGGTTGATGGTAAACGGCCCGAAAAGTATGAACGAAGGATAGGAAAGTACAGGAGTGGATTGATTTGAAAGGGTTTTAGAAGAGACTGGTGAAATGAATTCTTTTGTCGTCCTAATTGTTGCAAAATCCGATGTTATTAAAAAGACAATTGATGTAGGACTTGTCTTAGACATCTCATCTCATCTATGCGGGCACTGGGCTTATCTTAATGCTGTGATGCCTGATCATCGTCAGTGTTGGCAGCAAGCGTTCACTCCCACCAGTCAGCTAATTGTCCATGCGACGTGCCTATTGTTGTGGACAAATAGTAACTGGTTTTGTGACCTTTTACAATTTTTGCTATGTAACCATCAGATAAGTATTCACACAATCTGTCAATTGGTTTTTCAAAGAGATGAAGGGACTTGGACAGGTTGGACGCTGTAATTAATGTGCCAATGAATCGTCGGCCTAAAGGAGACTCCACCGATTTTCTTGATACGAGGACAGTTTCATCAAAGCGGGCTTTAATAAAGTGGTTTCCAAACAAATTTTCAACCCTTGTGGCGAAGTTTCCGAAGTTGTTTGTGAGTTTTCGTAGATCTGAATGGAATGGAAGTAGCGTTTGGGATTGAGCAAGATTTGAGGGCAAGCTTGGATACTGGAATGTCTAGGCTTCCGCGTAGACGTGGTTCAATCGATATGGTAGCTGCATCGCTCAGAAATAATCGGACGTAGGTGAACATCATTCGCTATCACTAAGAGATAAGGAACTTGTTCTAGAACAACCCAAGCTTCCACCGTCCAGATACATCGATTTCCCCAGGGGATCGGACGTAGGTGAACATCATTCGCTATCACTAAGAGATAAGGAACTTGTTCTAGAACAACCCAAGCTTCCACCGTCCAGATACATCGATTTTATTCCCCAGGGGGTGATCTGAACCTGGGCCAAGGTTTGGTGGCTTCGATGACCAGGAGTTTCCGTTCAATAGCTCTTCCTTCCTCTTCACCCTGTATTGGTGTGTTTGGGTCCATGTCGTTGAATGGTCGTTTGTAAATGCGACAACCCCCCCCCGCAAACAAATATGAAGGACAATAAACAAACGCAGCGATTAGAAGCACAGCCCGTGGGGATGCAGACAAAGGAACAAACATGAGCGGGGACACTTACCTGCATCCAAAAAACTTCCGTCAGCCAAATCCAGTAGAGTCGTCAGGCCCCCATTGCCTAAACACGGCAAGATAATTACGGGGACTGACAAAGTCGTTCAGCTGTAGCGCCGTTCTAACTGACATATCGTTAGAAGGGAGCACGAGGGCCGGGATACTGCCGGGTTGCCCAAATGTAAACAGGGGAAGTCGACAGGCTTAGGTGGAAAACGACAACGCAGCTAATTTTGAGTTCAACATGTGCTTACTAGCTAACGCACTCGTCTTTCCATCGGTTTCCTCCGCAGGCTAGTATGCCGACGCGAGTGTAAAAGTTCTCCATTCCTTGATTCCTGAACAAGTGTGTCGCGTTAGGTTTCCAGAGTACTCCACGAACTCGGCTATCCGTGCATCCACTACGGGAACCTCGTGTTTCTCTTGAAGCATTCACCATGTCAAACTGGTTGCAGCCAAATGGGTTACCACCAGCTACGTTTTAGTAGGTTAAAGTTCATACCAGTCGGTGCATAGATTTCGGTTTCTACTGTACAAGTGTGCGAATGTTGATTTGTTTCGTAGCCACCCAGGTGGGATGCCCATGTCTTGTTAGCCAGCGTCGATAGCAGCAGCAGAACGCTGCCCGTCACCGAAAAGCTTTAATTGAAGGCAATGTCTGTCCTTTTCTCAGGCTTGGGTGTGTTACCAGTATTTCACTGTTCATGTGGTTGGTGTGAACGGAATCAACGTCTCGTCTTCGTCGCATTCTGCCAATGTTTTGCACCCCACTACTCCATCTGACTGCATCTATATCAACCACAAATGAGTCAGAATTTAAAGGAAACAAGCTCTCAAAAGGGTGTTCGGCACCCGTTACCTCCTAGCGTGATCAGTAAATCTTGGAGTTGGCTTAGTTCGTGATTCTTCTGGTTTCTAGCTTGTGTCACTGTTTGACCGTTACATTGGAGCAATTTTGAAGTGGGTGTATCTAATGAACGGTGATACCAGTTTTGACAGAGAATGTTTAGTGAGGGCAAGATTCATGTATGGTCTCAAATCAAAGGGTGTGTATCAGTATCAAATTCACCACATTTAACGATACCATGCGATGTGAGCATCGGTTGCTACGGGTTGCATCGAATATCAATTGATCATAGCCTTGGATGAGTGCTAGATTTTAACTATTACCTGGGAGTGACTTGTTCAAAGGACTGGTTAGAGCACTGGAATGTCTCACCAAAAATGGAATCCGGTTTTTCGAGGTTGTGCGTGGTCCACGGTTTTTGCACATGAGAAACGAGGTCGGCACCGAAGAAGGGAATATCCGACCCGTCCACAACTTGACGAACTTTCCTCGATCCTAGGGATGTGGCACTTCATCCACATCGGAATGCGTCCAACCCGCTTTTCTCTCTATTTCTTTTTCCTTAGAGCTGGACAAAAGCTGATCCTAATTAGATTTTGTGCCTTTTCCTTTTTTCCGCTACCTCGTGGGCCCTCATCAACCGTCCAGAGAGGCTCCGTTCCCTGATAGGTTTGGATCATCTCGTGAAAAGCTTAATGGTATACGGTGCCTATTCTTGCGTCTGTGGTCCCGTAGCAACAGGTTCACGTAATTTCGGAATGTTCAGTGGCTTTCGGGTGATCGAGTCTGCAATATCGCAATCGTAATTGAAGACAGACTCATGCGGCCACCAGATCCATAGTTCTGTCGTGGCCTGTGGTCCCAATGACCGCCCAAAGCAAGAATTTTACTGCTATGTAGACCGAATTAGTGTTCGAAATCAAAAACCGCAGCTAAAGCTCAGTGGATCGTGTGAGCTGTACGGAGACAAGGTCAGGCAACCTTAATATCATGAAGAATGCGAGGCGGCTCTAGCGAATGAAACGTCTGATGTGGAACTGGTCGTTGTTGGGGCTCTTGGTGATGGTGGTAACCACCTAAACGTTTTGAATGTTTCCCGAAGGGATGTATTTCACCTTGGAAATCCTTTGTTGTGTTCAGAGTTTTGCACTTGTCACTTAGCCTCCATTTTCCCAACAACCAATGAAGTAGTTACTGAGGACGTATCAGAAACTATATAAACGCGAGAAGTTGGGGAATTACTCACCCGATCGCACATGGACGTCCTATCTCACGATGAGCAAACGTCTGCAAGTCACTTACCAAGCTCGGTGAGCAGATCAACTGCCACCTGCCCAACAGCCAAAAAAGTGTAGTGGTCTAACACTGATGTCTGATTGCTGTTCATCAAATCCTACTCTCCACCGGGCAGTTGGTTTCATGCTCAGCTAACCTATATGTCTCGTAACGTTTTCCTATTCGGTTTCTTCATTTCTTTTCGAGAGGTGTCATCGTCTATCTCCATGTGAGATGTTTGTAGCTCCGCTTTTCCTCAGCACGCATTTCCAAACGAATGCAGTAATATGAAGACCATAATCCGGCGGCACAAAACTTAAACATCCAGAGAGTTGTCCTCATATTTGCTATAAGTGTATTAACATTTTACCATCAATTTTCTTTTCATGCTAGACTATGCTTTCACATCTCTGCTGAATAATAAAAAGCTACGCTCTATTGTTTCTGGCTTACTGGGCTTGGTCAGTTTGATAGAAGGCACAGCAAAAGTAGTGTTTCCGATCGTAATTCTGGTGCTAACCCTTCCTACTGTTTCATGTAGTACCGAGCCGTATTTTATCGACGTATGAGCTGTGGACCAACAAAATATACCCACTGTGGTACCACAATCGTTACTGAAAGGATCATCTAGCAAGTGGGCACACATGTTGCGTTCAACGGGACAAACCGAGAGGCAAGCATATCTAATCGTAACGGCTATGAACACAGTGGTCGTAAGTTCTGTTAACCAGTGGACCTCCGCGTATCATACAGAATGATGAATACGTAGCTGCCATTTGGCCAGGACTCGCGATCGGTATGTTGGGCTGACGTGCACATCGGCGGTTGATCGATTTAGCTTTTTGGTGCTGGATTTTTCGGCTCCCACTAGTGTGCATAATCGTTTGGAACTCAAATGGTGCCGTACCCAGCTTAACAAACCTAGATGCCTTGCTTATGCGCTTTCCCATTTCCAGCTTGATTGCCGATGAGCGTTTGCTACGAGGACAGCACTGGCTGACTTACAGCTTAGTTTTTCACGTGGGCTGCAAGGTGGTCAAGTGTATGATCACGAAGAGGGAGAACGTGTTCATCCCATCCTTTATCTATTTCGCGACAGCATTAGCTTCTCGTCGTTGTCTGGCTTGCGCGCGTCTCAGTGAACAAATAAGCCTTCCTGTGATAATTTGCCCAAGTTGTTCTTCTCTTCAACCTGGGGGAAAACCACTGAGGTCGAATCCTAACGGAGCAAGTTCTTGTATCGTCATTACTATTACTACCGCGAGCTCGCCACCTTCGCGAAGTTCCAATATAGTTAACTAAATAAACTCTGGTAAGCATGTCCACCAGTTCGTTAATTGATTTATGGGTAAGGACGTTAGCTTGCGAGAAGCTTAGTAATATTAAGCGAGTACATTGAGAAGACTGCTTCGAGCACGAATAGGTATAGACAAACTGAACCAATCGCGTACAGGATACTGTGTTAGGTGAATGTGCGCATGAGCGAGGACCGTCCTCTAGAAGAAAACCCAACTTCAGTTCACTTCAAGCCGTGTACCATAGGTACATTGGTTCCAGCTGCTACAGTTTCACTCACTGAAAAGTTGGAAAGCGCTGGGAATACATCCGAGCATTGGAGGTGATGGCACTTCAGTTTGGGAATCAACAGCTACGCATTTAAAATGGTCGTTTTCGTACACGATCACTCCTGACTGCGCGATTGGACCATTCCCACCAGTGTCATCAACCACTGAGTTGAGTATCAGAGTCCCAATCCGGTGAGAAAAAAGTCGGTCAGCTGTAGCACATTTTCTGCGCCTAACTGCCATGCCACCAGAAGGAAGGACGAGGGATGTGGCACTGCCAGTTCGCCCAAGCCTAGACAGAGATCGGATTCGAACTACGGACCTTCCCGTCAGTAAGTTCGCACTCTAACCACTGAGTCATCAGCATCTCCGGTGAGACAGCAGTTGTCGGCCAGACTCAGTGTACTGGATAGTGTCCCCATACTTCGTTGCCAGGTCACACACTATCCACCTCTCGTTTGCTTCCACTCAGGATAGCGCTCGACGAACTTTACGGAACAGTAGTTCCTCTGTTGTGCGAGGTACATAGCCCAAACAACATGACCTATGAAATGAGCGATTCATCTATCACGGGAGTTTCTTCCAGAAATTATCTGGCGTACCCATCAGATTGGATCAATCCTCCGGAATCAATTGCGGACAAACACTGACAGCTCTCGTGTGTCCTCTGAATGTAGAGGCCACGTATCTGGTCCATTAAGGAGTATAGGTCGCACTGCCGCAGTGTAAACTATTGTTGACGAACAGGACGACGTCACGGCGCCGTAGTTATCCTGGCCTTCCCGATTGAAGGAGTCAACATACCACTTTTTTCGTGTTTTCTATGAGGTAGGCAATCTAGCGCTTAATATTCGTTCGATCCTAGTTACTGGTAGATACAGTAAGGTAGTGTCCGAAACCATTCAGTGTTCAATTAATTAATGTGGGAAATCATTGATAACCGAACGAAATACAAGTCTGATGGTTCAGTAAAAGTCACGTGTGTGGTGGCACTGTTTACGGGTAAAGTATAAAACACAGAAATTCAAAGTTTTCTGAACGAAGGCAGACCTTAGAGTACCGAATAATGAAGTAGAATCAGACACAGTTAGATGACCAGCAAACGATTCGCTTTTGCAGTTAAAGCTGCTATCGAGGTACGGTGACTTTATCCTGTGCATTACTTCATATTTCGTTCACATCGAGTGCACAATGACAGATTCAACTTGCCGACTAAAGTGACACTTAACTTGTTATAATGTGACAATTAGTGGGTTAGGGCAGTTCCTATTTTTGCAAAGGATCTATCCTAAAATAGAGTTCACTCTACCTATTTGTAGCTTTTTTTGACGCGTGAGTGGTCCTAATCATCTAATGGTGATGTCGAGGACAACACTACAAGTGAACCATTTGAGGGGATTAGTTTTTTCCGTATACTATTCTAGACTTAAAATTCTGAATATCACATTACTCCCATGGTGATGCTTCTGGCACACCCTAGTATATTTGGTTTGCTTTCGTTAGATTCGTTTAACACATGCTGAAGTTAAATTGGATTTGGTGCGACTGGGTGGAAGGCAGCTCATAATGGACTGCGAAATACGAGTGAGTAGTTGGTATCCTCCAGTACTTATCCTCTAGGAATCCGACGATTGGGGTGCTCACAACAGTCTCTGCTAATATGCTTCAGTTTCCAGGTTGCTCGAAATCCCGCGCTATTTAAAGAACAGGTTCGTGAACCGAATTTTACTTCAGTAGAGAAAAACTGATAAGGAGTGATATGCCCAAATGCCAGCGGTCATGAACGAATTAATTTATCGTATTGGTAAGGAAAGGGTCACCTTACAGTAAATGCGAAATTTACCGCACGCAATGGCTAGCACTATCCGGGTCCTCAGTGTTTTGTGTCGCATTGGTGTTGTGTTTCCTTAAGATATTCAGTGTTTCTTTATCCGCAACGGGACATCAGATTCAGAAGTCACTGCGAAGTTGTCATAAATATCTAAATGATCATCTCACCCTACCAGTGAGAAGATCGCGCATTTTAACTCACCTCTGAGTGACACAACTTGGATTTTTTTTTATGAGAAATCGGTAATATCGGTATTTGATAAATCCAGCATATTATTTACCCGTCGGGACGTTAGGGTAGCACCATGAAACCGGTTAACTTGATGACCCGGATCCTATCACATCACGATTACCTGTTAAATATGTAATCGACTTAACCACTAGCTTCAGTCGAACCGTATATGTTCCCAGACCAAGCTTTCGTGTTTCTCATAGTGATCACGCGTCAACAGATTCATTAAGCCACGAGTGCAGTTGCTCTTCCTGTATGTATTTTGTACGTACTGATTATCTTATGGTGAACCAGAGTGCGGTTTTCCGCGAATTTCCCTTACAAAACAAAAGTCATGTAGTGTTTGGGATTATTGTTGTAATGATGACAAAAGTATAGTACAGTTGAGTATTGATTCATGGCTTTTTTATCGGCGTGTTTTTTCTGTAGTAAATTGGCTCAATCCTGCAGAAACTGCAACAACCGAACATTCTTCCTACATGGTGCACTTCGGAGCTTTTGTATCCGTATAAGCCCCGTCCAACCGTGTGGACAACCTGTGTACGATAAATAACGTTTTCATTCAAAGACAACTAACATTCTGTCATGGAATGGTGTTCTCTTGTCATGACTTATCGAATTACTGAAGAGCATGTCAACATTGGCAAAACGGAAGTAAAACTGCAATGAGAAACACCAAGAGTAACAGCCCATAGTGATCTGGCATCGATTGGTTGCCGTCCGTGAAGTGCGTGTGAACACCAAGACGCGGAAGTGGAGCCTTCAGTTCGCCTGAACATAGCGCGGACGTTCAGGTTCAAATTTGCCGCAGGACTATCTAACTACTGTAATCCCGTACAATCTCGACTACAAGGACTTTGAAAAAGCCACCAGGCTAACTGTTGTTGTGGCGAACGATAAGAGTTCAAAGTGTGAATGGGGTGCGACAAACTTTAATCCATTAATTCCTTACCTACAATGCTGTGGCAATTTCTTCTGCTCCTATCACTTTTCGGTGAAACAAACTATAATACCCTAAACTAAGACATTGGCTGATTAACTGGACAGGTGGTCGGCACGTTTTGATGCGGAGTGCCAGAGCTACGAAGTTTCGAGGGAGAGCACTGCTAATGCTTGCTAATGCGTTACCAGCCAGGTAAAGTCAAATTTTCGTTCAAAAGGTAGCAGTTGGTCTTTGAGGCCCCACAAAACAGTCAGTCGTGATGGATTTGATGCTCAACGGATCTTGGTGGTAACCAACTTCCGCGCTGTGGTATCTTCTGTGCTCTACTGTGGTCTCTACTTTCAACCCTATAAGTAGTTCAGATTTTGTCCTTTCACACCACTGCTATTACCGCCTGGACGATGGCTGCCTGGTTGTCCTAGGTCTTCCTACTTATTTACGCATGGAAAACTCCACGTGCGTGATGCTACTTGAATGATGTAGTGTTTCATATTTCTCATCTTGATGCAGTAAAATAGGATGGATGATATGGTAATATGACGACAAATGCGTTAGCAGGATGCAGTCCAATCAATGAGAGCCAATGAATAAGGGTTCGTTTTGACGAATATCAGACCGCGACTCACAAGAACCTGTTTTTTTATGGTACGACTTAGTTCGGTTTAAAACAACAGTCAGACAAGTGTATACTGGAGCCAGACAACTCCTTATTAATTTTCCAGAAAGACTAACCAGAACCAAGCTAGATTGCAAATGCAACTGCGAAACACTACCACGTGAGCTTTCTGGATGTGGTAAAATGTGAGATTTAAGTGCACTACGGAAAAATGTTGGGAAATGATGCGGAGTGTGCCTGGTAGTAGGGGTCACGAAGTTGGATTTTAATGTCGACTACCTTAGTCATCTTGCTGATGATCTACCGGTATACGATTGAACGTTTGTTTGAAAATCGCTCAGCTTAGCAAATAAACTATTTTAGATGGATATACCTATTTGGTTGCGATCTCCGAAGTAGAACAGGCAGCTCTGTTGGTGAAATGGCTCAGGAAGAGACTAGACCTTACCATGGTATGGCGGTTTGCGCACCTCAGTGACCAATTGAGTCATATTGAGGGTGTCCTCGCGACACTCAGTCTCTCATACCAGGTTAGTCAATGGCTAGAGGTCTGACGAGCACAGTCTCCTGTCCCTCTAGGTTGGGAGCCGAAACATTTGACGATTTGTCCCGTATGGCAATGCATGATGATCTACCGGTATACGATTGAACGTTTGTTTGAAAATCGCTCAGCTTAGCAAATAAACTATTTTAGATGGATATACCTATTTGGTTGCGATCTCCGAAGTAGAACAGGCAGCTCTGTTGGTGAAATGGCTCAGGAAGAGACTAGACCTTACCATGGTATGGCGGTTTGCGCACCTCAGTGACCAATTGAGTCATATTGAGGGTGTCCTCGCGACACTCAGTCTCTCATACCAGGTTAGTCAATGGCTAGAGGTCTGACGAGCACAGTCTCCTGTCCCTCTAGGTTGGGAGCCGAAACATTTGACGATTTGTCCCGTAGAAATGGCAATGCACTTGCATTTCCCGCCACCCCCGCTGCCTTGCTGTGAGGCTTTAGAACCAAAGGCCTTGGTTGAGAACCCTAGTCGTCTTGTCCAGGTTTGGGCGCTCTGGAATTATCGTAGCCCCCGTACAACCATGACATTTACGACTAACAATACTCTCGTGCTACATAGGCCGTCGCGTGATGCTATCAGCCGAGTTGCCTTACTGCTGCTTAATGTCGACTACCTTAGTCATCTTGCTGATGATCTACCGGTATACGATTGAACGTGAGTTTGAAAATCGCTCAGCTTAGCAAATAAACTATTTTAGATGGATATACCTATTTGGTTGCGATCTCCGAAGTAGAACAGGCAGCTCTGTTGGTGAAATGGCTCAGGAAGAGACTAGACCTTACCATGGTATGGCGGTTTGCGCACCTCAGTGACCAATTGAGTCATATTGAGGGTGTCCTCGCGACACTCAGTCTCTCATACCAGGTTAGTCAATGGCTAGAGGTCTGACGAGCACAGTCTCCTGTCCCTCTAGGTTGGGAGCCGAAACATTTGACGATTTGTCCCGTAGAAATGGCAATGCACTTGCATTTCCCGCCACCCCCGCTGCCTTGCTGTGAGGCTTTAGAACCAAAGGCCTTGGTTGAGAACCCTAGTCGTCTTGTCCAGGTTTGGGCGCTCTGGAATTATCGTAGCCCCCGTACAACCATGACATTTACGACTAACAATACTCTCGTGCTACATAGGCCGTCGCGTGATGCTATCAGCCGAGTTTACTTACTTGCTGCATACAGCAGGGCAGGTAAGTGAAAACATCCTACTGCAGATGCCTCCCTTCTTTCTCTTTCACATGCTTCTTCTTCCTTCCTCCCCACTTCGTTAATAACTCTTTCCTTGTAGGCCCAGCACCTAGGACCGATGACTACGTTCGTAATACGTCGGTTTTTATCGCAACGGCGTCACATGGTGCTGACATCCTCAGGTAGCTCCAAATCAATCTTCAAGCCTCGATGCCCACTCTAACTCCAATGTCCGCATTCTGAAGCAAGCGGGACAAAATCTACTCTTTCACTTACACCAGACCCACTTGGCATTGATGTGTGGTGTCTCAGAAACGAAAATTCAAGATGCAAGCACAGTGATTGAGTTAACCGCTCCGTCAGTCTCCATTCGCTTCCGGCTGCGCACTTTTGGTGATCCAGAGACTGCTGTGGTGGGATGTGCAGGGGTTGGTATCGTCCCAAGTCACCGGGCGGAGGTATTCTTGCGTGACTGGATACCTTGCGCTTCGTCTGGCAACGTCTGTGATGGAGTCCTACAAGCGGGAATTTGATAGATGCCCGTTTGTCGTGTCTTCCTACACCCCAACTGACTGTAGCTCCGACGCCATCAAAGACAGGTTCTCTGACGCCCTGGATACCCTGCTACAGGGAGCTAAAAGTTCAGACATCCTGGTGGTTGCCGGAGATGTGAATGCAAAAGTTGGCAGACTCAGCGTATCTAAGACTCTACTAGGAGACCCACATGGATTGGACTTGGTACGTACGGACAATTAGTTACGATGGCTTCAGCTGTGTGCTGATTGCAGGCTGTTTTTATGCAGTATCAACTTCCGAAATAGCCGAAGTCGTTTGGCCGCATGGTGTTCACCAACGGCATGCCGGCCACAAACTCACATCGACCACGTTTACATCAGTAGCGATGCAGTGTATCAATAACTGACTACCGTTGTTTTGGTACATATTTGTAGATTCCGACCACACACCCGTTCGGTTTCGCTCTCCCTATGTTTTTCAGGGCTGCGTAAGGCGCGGACAAATCGCTTGACAACTAAGAGACTGGCAGATCCTGCTGTTAGACGAATTTACCATAATCGTCTTCTAGATTATCTTCCGAAGGATCCACTATCAGATGCTAACTCATTCTGGTGGAGATTGCCACCTCTTTGCATAATGCTGGGAATATTGCCTGTGGCACGGTACCACCAGGCTCACTCAAGCATTGGATATCAAACTGAACAAGGGCCTGCTTAAATCTCAAAGAAACATTCCAGCGGGCCTCGAACATAACTGATGTGATGCACTATTGGATGTTAAGTAAATGTGACGTGCAAGCCTGCAGTTAAGTGTGGTGGACACAGAAAGCCAAGTAAATGGAAGAGGCCCAGAAAGCCGGTATTTCACTTGATCCGGGCTACCGGTCCCCGGAAAACACCTGCGAGCGAAACCACCAAAGAACGGCGCCTCGACCGGTGGGCTGAATATTTCGAATAACAATTGTCCTGATCACCAGCTGGCACTAATCTGGAGCCCGCAGGTGACGTAGAACCCTGGACGGTGAACGTAGAACCGCCTACGCCCTCGGAGGTTTATAACTGCATATGTTCTCTCAAGTGCCACTGAGCCTCTGGTCCCGATAGCCTTCTACCCGCATTGTTCAAGGATGGGGATGAAGTTCCAAGTCAGCGCTTGTCTGGTATGTTTGCTTGTATTTGGGAAAAGGAGTCTGTCCCAGACAACTGTGGATAGTCGGCGATGGTGTCCATTTTCGAAAAAGAGGATCGTAGTGAGTATGGCAACCACAGGAAGATCACCTTGACCCCGGTCGTAACGAGACTATTGGGGTCACTGTTGCCTCATCTCCTTACGGTGGCTCGTCGGACACTGATTCACGAGCAGCAAGTGGGAATGCGGCCTGTGAGAGGTTGCGTTGACCAAATCTTCATACTCTGTCAGGTGCTAGAACAACACCATACATATTAGCGACCCACAATTCTAGTGTTCACCTGCTCACCAAGGAATGCCTCGGAAGTTTGTGAACATAATCAGTTCTTTGTATTCTCGGAATTCCGGATATGTGAGCATACAGCCAGCTCCCCGAAGGATTCCGTACACAAAGTGGTGTCCGTCAGGGACGCCCACTCTCTTCATTCCTGTTTAACTTTGTGATCGATGAAATCACGAGATGAACTCTGGAAGGTCTCCAAAACCCCGGTGTTCAAATAGTCTGCGACGAAAACCTTGTCGGTATGGAATATGCAGACGTTCTCGTCTTCGAAGGGCAGGAGGCGCAGGTGTTTTTTTTGGTGACCAAAATCATTCCGTGCTTTGGCATGCACTTTGCACCCACAAAGTGTGAGGTCACGCTCATGGACGTACAGTTACTGAACACACCACTTAAAGTCCAGGGAGAAGCACTGGAAGTTGTGGAGCATTTCACGTATCTTGGAAGTTGTATTAGTTCTGATTGTAGTATAAAAGATGAAGTCAATGCACGAATCTGCGGGGTCCGGGTCGCGAATGCTGAGACACATATGGCGCCAGATTGATGTATCCCTGAATCTCAAGAGACTTGTGTTGGCTGTATGGCTGTCAGACGGCCTATTCGAGCAGCGTACTGAGAAGTATTCAGGTGTTCGACAATCGTTGTCTCAAAACCGTAGCTCGTGTAAGTTGGTATCGGAGACTCCGTAGCGAGGCAATTAGAAAGGGCGTTTTCCGTGGTGCGACGAACAATGTGTCCAGCACCAGAAGCTGCTGGAACATGTGTTGCGTATGCCTACCCATCGTTTGCTGAAGAGAGTGCTGTTTTCCATGCCCAACTCAGAGTGGCGAGAGCAGAGAGGTGGCCAAACCTTGCCCGGGTAGAGGAGTACGAAGGAGATTACGAGACGAGACGGGTGCTGTCGGTGCTACTCGCTGTCGAGGATGGGAACCGGGTGATCCTCATTGCGCCTGGTTGGAGACACTGCAAGATATGGCTATCAACCGATGTCAGTGGTGTTCTTGTTGTCAGCTCCTATCCAGACTGCGTGAATGAGCGTCTGGAGGTGTAGGCACCACGGATTGATTGTAATAATCTAGCACTAAGTAGCTTCCAGATCCACCTTTTTCTATTCTTTGCAATAAGGCTTTCACATAAATCATGGTTGTGCGCCAACGAAGCATCAGTGTTGAACACTGATCTGATGCTGCCGATAATGATAATGAATGGCTCAGGATATACACTCGATACCGAGGGAGAAGCCTTTGAACTATCCGTCATATCTTTATGCAGACGAGAAGCAGTGGGAAGAATGTCATCATCATCATCATCATCATCATCACCGTCGTCGTCATCATCATCATTGTCAGCTGTAAAATCTGCGTAACTGTCGTGGTTGTGGCTGCCACAGTTCCATTCACCGATGATTTGGGGAGGTGGGGTAGGTGGTTGCGAATTGGAGACGGGAGCTGATAAATCCGTGCGTAAATACAGCACTGTCAGTGTACTGTTAAGTGAGGGGAATTGGGAAGGGAGCTATGTACTGAAGGCAATAGCTTGGATTCACGAGCGCCATTGAGGGCGCGACTGGGCCATATCTGACATTGCCTCTAACCATCGATATGTCCCGTCTTGGGGTCCCCATCCAGGAAGACGGCAATGACCAGCGCAGCTGAGTTTGCTAGCAACGGCTTTATACTTCGAGGTCACGTCATTGTTTGACCACTTTTCGCGTGGTTGTGCGAAAAGAACCCTTCGAAGGAGTTGGTCGACTGGCACACGCAGCACGTGGCCAAGCCAGCGCAACTCATGCAGTGCGATCAGTTCATCTATCGACGGTGAATTATTTCTTCCGAATACCATTCGACGTACTTTAGCATTGCTGATCCGGTGTTCTCACCAGATCGGAAACATGACCGTTGCGCACTGAGGACGTCAACAGACTTTCAGTGTTTGACCATCGATGTCTTCGGAGTATTGCCCGAGTCTGGTGAGAACACCGGATCATCAATGCTAAAGTACGTCGAATGGTATTCGGAAGAAATAACTAACCCTCGATGGATGAAGAATGTTTACCTAGGGCTAACGAATTTTCAGCTGCACTTCGTTTCCCTAAGGACATAAAAGAACAATTACCAGGTAAATTTATGTACGTAATGGTTGGAGCCTTATGGTACTTATCCATTCTGGATCGAGACAAATGGGAATTCCACTAAAAATATCCCCTTAGTTGGCCGTGGTGAAATAACCTCTGGTAGTAAAAAAAGGAAGTAGCTACAAACAGCTGATAACAAAGGGAGCAGACTGTGGTGCAACAACAAGACTTATGAGCTGCGGTTAAGCGCTCGTTAGTCATAAATCCGATAAAAAATAATCTGGCCTGTAATTCTAACATGTTCCCATGTGTGTGACTTGCATGATCACATTATCTACGGTTGTGAGACTCTTGACGATATGAAGTCGTTTATTATGATTTAGTCACGACGAGACAGCATCTAAGAATACCCATTTTATCCATATTTATCTCTGTCAACAGTCACCAGCAAAATGGAAACGGTTTAGTAGAGTGAAGATTCTCTCCAGATAATATTTGCGGAGGTCCATTTGTTCGAAACAACTTCAAACCCAATATGAGGAAACCAGTCAGAAGTAATGCAGGAGATATTGGGGGATTCCAGTTTAAAAGGGATTTCGCTGTGCAAGTGAAATACAAGGAACATCAGAATGTTTGTTCAGAAAACAGCTGGGGTTTTCGGTGCTAAATATCCTCGCAAGATGAGTTATTTGCTAGTACTCAGCGGGTTAATTAGCATGAAACGCTTCATCCCAAGCTAAGAGATTGATGTCTTGAGTGCGAAGATGAAATTCAACATAGTACTTCACACTGAAGATTCCACGTTACTTGATAGAGTTGCAGTTCATCCATCTTCAAGCCCACATGCATACAACAGATACTTTTTCTCAGAACAGAAGGAACACTGCGCCCTACGCTTCCATCTCGTCTGAACCAATGAGTGTTGTCCTATTGAGAGCTACCCTCATGCACCAGTACATGAATGTATGATCGAGGTTTGCTGGACGGGTGCACTGACTAGCCGATATGCAGTCCAAATGTGTCATTGCCAAATCAGGAAATGTGGCCCAAGGTGCGGTAACAACCAGATTTGACCATAATTTGTTACTTCAATGGTCCTAGTGCATAATGTCCTGCCTCAGTTGTGTGCCCATTAACTGCGGAACTGGTTCCACATACGTCAATTGTTGGCCATGAAACTGATTTTCTGACCATTATACTTCAGTACACGCTAACGCTGAAACGAGAACAGCTTGAGGTGGCTACATGCACACACGTGACCTGATTCCTAATCTGTTTGTGTTTTCTTACTGAGAGTAAAACCTAGGTTCTCTTCTCCCAGAACATTTAAATCGAATACTGGAACAAGTGGAACAAAAAGACGTTGCCACCAATGTCACTGTCTCTGCCACTCTGGTTGACTTGGCAGTTAAGTCAAACATTTACACATTTTATTTCATCACGGTTCCACCGAAGGCACAGTAAGCAATGGAACACGAATTTTCAGATTTGTCTTTGGAGTAGTATCGGGTTGCCGTGATTTCTGTCTCAGCATGAAAACAAACGCATTTTTTGCGAAAGGTGGGAAAGTCGTAGGCAAATGCATCGAGCGCAGTGAATGCCTGAAGAGAACCAAGCAAACAGTGTGTTGAATTGGACACTAGTTGTTCATGACTAAATACAACAATATGTCACATTCCTTACTTTGACAGTCTTCGGCTGATGTCTTCGACAGGGTTTTGTACTTTATGTTTTTTTGTTCCCAGATTTTGTTGAATTGATTCAGTTTCCATCTTGGTCAGTAGCAACCTCAGTTGTTCTGTCCTTGTGGCAAGGGTTGGGAGTGGGTGGGAAACTCTGCTCTCGAGTGTGGCTGTCGGCTGTAAATGAGTCAAACGGCAACTCGGTAATAAATTAATTAAATAGTCAATTTATTAATACCTATTTCCACAATGAATACACCAGCTCCCCTTTCGATGTGACATTTCAAATAAATCTAGCACTTGATTTACGGTCAACTCCGTTCCGTCTCAGCTTAGATTAAAATCCTTCCCGGCAGTTTCCTCGAGTCCCATCACGTAAGGGTGGTCTGGATCCGCCTCCTACAATCGAACTAGTTAACTCTCAACACTGAGCTCACACACATGCATCTGTCTGAATAAGATGGTAACATTAACAACGAAATCGGGCACCGCCCAGCGGATGAGTTTGTTCCCGAGTTTAGTATGTGGCTTTGATCATTCTTATGCCACGTGACCTACACTACATGGGCGCTGTTCGACCTTTGTTAAGGTGCTCATTATTCTAACTTCCATCTAGCTGCTAGTTTTTATAATCTCCAACATCGGTGGCGTTTCGGTTTTCGAAAAATACAGTGACCTGCGTTTTGCGGGTGTACATTCACCTTTATCTGTGGTCAAGCGAGGCGGCTTTCTTTGCGTTCCATGTTGCTAGTTTCACAATTAACAGACAGGGATTTGGAGTTTATTCCCACTACTCATGTTGTTAAAGACGCATGATGTTCTTGCTAATCCGTCACAATGACTGAGGAACTAGAAACACTGAGGCAACCTAGATGAAGCCATAGGTAATGGTTGGGTTATACGACAAATCCCGAGGCGTCTCTGTATCTGAACGATTGGCACCGCCCATATTTTTTGGTTAGAAGAAAATATCAGTTAGCTAACCTAACTGCGCTCAAGCAATACTTATAAAGAGGGACGATTGGTCGATGTACCTTGGCTGGATGAACACAAGTCTCGTCCGGTGGGTGCAGAACGTGACGACGTATTTGGGAAGATATCTGTCTGAAGTCCATGAAGCGTTTCCGAATTTCGTCTGTAGCGCTGGCAATAGGGATTTCATGTGCTTCTCCCTTTGCAGACTGTGATTTCTCTGAAACTGAAATAATTGGGGTTGAAAGTTTCAACTTAGTAACACAATGGCATGCTAATATATATATATATATATATATATATTCTGACCTGGTCACCAAGCTCCTGAGGAATACTACCTACTATTTGACTCGTGGGGTACACATTGCCCGTCAAGTTCGACTGCCACATCGGGGAAATTATTCAGAGGATAGTTACCGATTTAGGAAACTCGTGTTCTTCCAATGATCTCCCCCACCGAATCGCCAATTGCACTAAATTGAGGGCGGTACTGGTGTTAAAAAAGATAGGAGTGGTTGTTGTAATGTGATGATACTCAAGAATTTGTGTAACTAAATTTAGTTGCAACTTACGAAGTTGAGTGTGGCGTTTAGTTTATTTATTCGGACGTTTTCAGGTCACATAGGAGCGTATTTCGACAAAGATGTGACGTGAATACTGTGAAAACTAGACAGATCTGCACGAACTTGGGCGCTTCGTATGCCCAAAGTTTGGAACAGATTCCGGAGGGATGTTGGAACGTACCATTTTCCCTAACCCTAGAAAAAATTCATTTGGTTATCATACAACATAGCCTCCAGCTTTAGTTTAAAAGGTCGGTATCATATCCTCAAAAAAGGTTTTCGTTTCTCTGGACTGGTCAGCTAGTCAATCGGTGAAATGATAGAAATAAAAACTGAGCATATTCGGCTGGTGGTTGATGACCCTAACAGGCCACAACATTCCGCAGCTGCATCTACTTGAGCCTAGGACAAATTCTTTAAATAGCCAAGCGGTTGACCCTTGACTGTTCAACTTACCGGCGGAACGAATATTGCGATCGATGTAATTATCCAAAAGTTGTAAGAGCTGGTCTAAGGCATTCCGGGAAGCATCGAGCTCTTGCCGTAGAGCCTCGTATTTGGCTTCTGCTTCAATCCCCAGTGCTGTCGATGAGAAGTTTCTCTTGATCAAGAGATAAGGGAGGAACACAAGCAAAATCTTTTATTGCGGTGTAATTGGTGGAGCAAAACGGATGGATTCAACCAGTTTACCAGCACAGCATCACACAGTTCTATCGAGACCAACAGGCGGTAATCCTTACTTGCGCAACGACCCATTTTTCAGTCTGAATTTCTTTGTCATCCTGGTCGAGTATTGACTGTCTTTTTATTAGCTCCCTATCTCCATTTCCGCAAAGAGAACTATCCTTCCAAACGAAGTGCTTTTGTTGATCTATCCTTTTCGTTTTTTCGGACAGTTGCCGTTTGAGTTGGGTTCTGGTGGCCACCATGTAGATTAATCGTCGATAGAGTAGGTTTCGGTGACTTCTTGCCCTAGCCATGATTGCTCTGGTTCGACTTTCCAGCAGTCTGATTTTATGTCGGTATTTTGACTGTGTAATAAAAAGGGATGCGACAAGCAGATATGAATGACTGTCACTAATATATTTGCCAACCAGTTAAGGTTTTGTTGGGGTGATTAATCATGTTTCAACGATAAACTTGTTAAACCATGATTGGCTTTAGTTCAACTAAGTACATAATTACACACCAGTGTTCTGAACAGCAAGTTTGTAGGCCTGAAATTGTCGTGGGATGATGATAATCCATAAGCTTTTTGGTCACACTTCATATTAGCCCAAATTCTGTATCCAACTTGTCCCTCGTCCAGATCGCCTGAAATCACCACAATTATTGGGGAACAACAATATGTTTGACCGTTTCTATCAAATTCGGACATACCTACCATTTGATCTAACATGTTATGAATCACACGTATATCTGAACGGAACAGCGACTGGGGCATGCATTCCTCTGGTTTTGATGGAAGACTCACCTGGAACCCAGCTGAATCTCTCGTTTATGATGTTAGTCTTCAGATGAGCGTGCTGCAACAGACCACCTCGTGTCTCAGTTGGTGCGATATTCGAGATGCCACAACATTATATGGGCATAATATACTACTCACAAGGTTGCTGTAAACTCTGACAGCCCACAGCCAGTTTTACCCTTGTTGCGGCTCATCAATCAAGCAAAGTCCGGAATCAGTTGGGTTCCAGTTGAGCCATGAGCAGATGAGCCAGTTGAGCAGATGAGCATATAAGTCGAATTTCGTGAAATCTGGATTCAAGTAGAACATAAGGTTGACGGAAACCAGGGAACTGCACCTGCTAAGTTAGGCCCAAGGGCGAAACGGTCGTCGGACGTCGGAGAGGTTTCAGCAACTTTTTGAGTAGCGTATTACGTTTACAAAACTAACTGGTTTGTCTGAACTTGTCAGACTACTGGATGTAGTCAAAGAAAGATCCAGATAGGTGAGTGGATAGTCGTTGCACGACATGGAAATCACATATTGTTCATTAGTTTTGGCATGCATAAATGTGAAGCAGAAAGCCAAGGAAACTAATCCCGTTCCCTCCGACATATTGCACCGTTGTCTGATGCATACAAAACACCTACCATTTGAAAAAATGGTTGCACCAACTCACATTAATTCTTGCTTTTTCATCTTTGGCTTGTTCGAGGATTTCACGCCTTTCCTTTGCTTCATGTCTCAACTGATCGTTGAGCACATGAACTTGGAATTCACTGACAGCAAGGGCCTCTTCTTTTGCATGAAGCCTTTGCTCGAGGTAACTGACTGTAGTGGTTAAACTGGCAGCTCCGTGTTCCTTCCAATGCTGAAGCTGTGGTTGGTGTGAAATTAATCGCACTAAGCAAAATTACTTCGAATGGACTGGAGAACAAGTTAGTGCCACCAGCACGAAACATTATTCTGTAACATTATTTTGTAACTCGTTGGAAAATAATAACGAAAAGGGAGAGGGAGTCAGTCTGTTGCATACGAATTGTAGTCATTTAGGGTGTTCCAAACGCTTTGTGATCAGCCTTCCGAACGAATCAGAAGGGAAATGACTCAAAGTAAAATGAGATGGCCCACCGTTTGTCGAGTGTCAAGTTGGCCAGTGTTCTTACTTGATCTCGAATTCATGAGAACATTCAAAAAGGAAACCGAACCCTACAGAGCCACTAATGAAGAAGCCTAATAGTGTCCAGAGGACTGACTGACCACAGATCCGTGACCGGTTCAAGTCTATCAAAGCTTCATGAACCCTAAGTTGATTTCTTGACATGCAATTTTTTGAACTGTATCGTAGGAATAGGATACTGCAGCTGTTCTTAATAGCAGCACTTCCTATATATATATATATAAGAATCAGCCGACCATGTCGCTCAACGGTCCTCTAGACCGTCACACAGCACCCAAGTAGATGCGACCTGAGGGCGCAGACAGCCAATCGTTTGTGTCGCCACGTTTTGCATTTCAGTCTTTGCTGTATATTTCATTTTTCGTCCCTATTTTGACCATTAGATCTGTACTGACCTGATGATTAGATCGCGGAAACATTAATGTACATCATTGTGTTCTTGTTCAGATAATAATAACGACTGGTGTTGTGTTTATCAGGAGCCCGGTTATTTTGTGGAAGGCCGTACTGCTTGAGGGAGAACCGTTTTTAACCGTTGCAAAACATGCGATACAATCTCGAGTTAAACGTGAGTCATCAGTATCCTCGTCCGATTCGATCTTGATGCTCGATATAAGAATCCATCGGTTGTAAGCTAGCCGGCATAGTGTGTGATTTCTTCGTTTGGAAAATCAATAAAGCACCTAACACAACGCTCAAACCTTCTTAATCCGCTTATTGTCTATATTCCGAACGTGAATGCTGATGTACCGACTTGGCATCCGGGAAGAATCATCCATAGGCATAATAAAGTAAACCAGAGAACCCGTGAAGGACTGAAACTGAAGATGGTCAATGCAACTGAAGTGTAAGGTTGTCCGCTTTTGGGCTGAAATTCCCTTTACTGAAACCTAACGAAGGAGCGGTACAGTTACATGCTGACATTGAATGAGCAAAGGGAGTATCCACTACCATCTAATTTACTGTCTACTATCTGAATCAGAATGGTTGGTAAACAACAAACATTTTATTTAAATAACCCTACACTACATATGCAATTATGTAACATAACAATTTGGTATAGCTTACCTCAGCTTTGTCCCCTTCCAACTTCGCAACGAGTGCTTGCAAATCAGAAGTGGTCTTCCGTTGTTCCGCCAGCGCTGTTTCGTTTTTCTCGACCAGATCCAGCTGATGTTTGTTGGCTCTCAACATTTCTTCTATTTGTTTGCGTAACTCCTCTAGTTCGGCATCCCGTTGCTTATTTATAAGTTGACTGTGTCTTCTATTCTGTATGGAAAGGAGTGCTTTTTGACGTGACGTTGAGAAACACTCGATTTACTGTACCGAAAATCTGTTTGCTGTAGAAGCGTAGACGTTAACCAGTCAGTTTTCTAAATAGTATCTTGCATTCTGATCCACGACGCCTACCACAGTTGGACAGCTATCCTATAGTCCTGCCGCAATTATTGTGTTGTATTCACGTCACAATTCAATTCTTCGACAGGATCAAAGGGCGCACGATTCAAGAGATAATCACATATGATAACACATATCATGTGTGATATGTAGGACAGGGTTAAGTGGTTTCATGAAACTTGGTTACCAATCCAAAGGATTAGAAGCGTCAGACTGAGATGACCTTAGTGGTAGGAGATTAAGACAAGAAACTAATTGTGTTATTGTCACAGGTGATGAGCGATTCACACGTCACTCTAACGCAAACGTATTCAAACTGAATGATGCGCTTGCGTTTATCTTGACTATAAATGAGACGCCTGCTACTTAGGTTAGATGACTGGAGTTCGAGAATGGTGGGGCCAACGAGGATCACATGACGATAGTTTTCTCTCTAGGGGATGAACGACCTGGAAAATCGCCTTAGAAACACATACTGCTTGGAAACATCACAAACGAGAGATTCAGCTGGGTCCCAGGTGAGTCTCTCGCAAAACCAAATCTGTTTGCAAATGAGTGTATTTCGCTAACCCGCAGTTTTTGAAGTGACAGCAACGTGTGGTTCACAGACAGTATTCATCACACTAGAGTCGAGTTAACGGCTATTAATTTATTTCGACCGGTCAGCTGGAGAAAACAGATCGCCCAGGGCACTCACGATACACTAGAACAGAACATCCTCAGATCTATTGATCTTTTCAAGAGTTTGCAGATACCTTTTTGAAGCAATCTGATTTCTCGCAACTACTGTTGCAAGTCAGCCATAAAAGTGAACTGCTGATTCGAGCACAAGAGTGCGCAGATTATCATTATTGAACTTACGAACAACTTTTCTTTAATGGGAGACCAGCAGATGACCGCAGTATGTTAATATAATCTCAATTAGCGGCATTGTTGTGTTCACAAAGAGAACGTTCGCTGATAGGGTGATAATGAAAATCACAGGAGTACTTTATCGGTAAGAAAGTGACATTTACAATACCATGAAAAAATGAGCCTACTAAATTGTTTATTCAACTACTTACTTACCTACTCACTTACTCGATTAATTACACACTTGCTTAGCTACCTACTTACTTACTTACTTACTTACTTACTCACTTACTTACTTACTTACTTACTTACTCACTTACTTACTTACTTACTTACTTACTCACTTACTTACTTACTTACTTACTTACTCACTTACTTACTTACTTACTTACTTACTCACTTACTTACTTACTTACTTACTTACTCACTTACTTACTTACTTACTTACTTACTCACTTACTTACTTACTTACTTACTTACTCACTTACTTACTTACTTACTTACTTACTCACTTACTTACTTACTTACTTACTTACTCACTTACTTACTTACTTACTTACTTACTCACTTACTTACTTACTTACTTACTTACTCACTTACTTACTTACTTACTTACTTACTCACTTACTTACTTACTTACTTACTTACTCACTTACTTACTTACTTACTTACTTACTCACTTACTTACTTACTTACTTACTTACTCACTTACTTACTTACTTACTTACTTACTCACTTACTTACTTACTTACTTACTTACTCACTTACTTACTTACTTACTTACTTACTCACTTACTTACTTACTTACTTACTTACTCACTTACTTACTTACTTACTTACTTACTTACTTACTTACTTACTTACTTACTTACTTACTTACTTACTTACTTACTTACTTACTTACTTACTTACTTACTTACTTACTTACTTACTTAGATGAATGCGAAAGAGTAACAGGAGAATATGGGAGAAAAGAGAGAAACGTCTCATTCGAGATCACGCCAAGGGCAGTGCCAGTCTGATGAGGTGAATCCCAAAGTATGTAAAGATTTTGGTATGGGAACACGCGTCTAAAGACCAACAACCAAAGAAAGGACAAACAATGGTGAATGCTCTTCAAGGCGCAGTGTGCGCCAGCACAGTCAAGACTCGCACATCAGGCACAAAGTAACCGTCGTACTGGGTCTGGGGTGAGATTAAATGGCAAAAATGTACCTTCAACGCTATGTGCCACGCATAACAGTGTCATAAGTACGGAGGGAGCCCACAATGGCAAGCAAACACAAGTCACTGACTGCTCGCTTATTTAATTACATTCTAAATCGTCTACCTACTTAACTGCATGGATGTGAACTCGCACACTCATAAGGATATTAACTCACATAGACTCCGGGTCCATGTATACTATACAAAGATATGGACACAAGTTGTTTCTAAACCTTTACGGCCACCGAAAAACTCAGAAATTAAGTCTAAACTTCGCAAAATTTTGCGGGATTTCGATGGGCCTCTGAAGTCTGAATGACGCGGAAGTTAATATGCTTGCCTCAAACGTATGGACGAAATGTGGAATTGGTGAATTAGTTCGAAACAAAAACTCTTGCAACCATCGCCATCTTCTGTCAAGCTGATGGAAAGTTTTTGTTTTTAACTATGAAACGAAGGATGCTTAATACCAAGAAAGGGACTAGGGCCCGTTTTGACAAGGGCGATGGTGAATTGAGTAAGTGTCGTTAAAATTCGCAAGCCATGACCTTATCCACGCACCTAAGTGGATTGGAGTCAGTGATGGCGCCTTTCACACACCCTAAGAATTCAAGACTGCAGTCCTACTGAAAGAAATTCTCTTGGTCACGCCTGGAGTCTTACTCGTTAATAAGACATGCTGACGCAGTATCCATTTAATTAAAGGCGATAGGCAAAAAGTTAGCAAGATACTAACAATTTGAACTGGTTTAGTGGGTCGCACTCACCAGACACGCTATTTTCAGCGCTAAATCAGCAGTAACAAACTTTAGCATCAAAAGTCATACCGTCTCTTATAAGAAGTTGCTAGGGCTTTAGTCATTGAGTACGCTGGTGATCTGAACAGATACGTTTTGTGCCCAACCAATGCTTTAGTCTTGTAGATACATATGCTAACCTCACACATTTGGTCAGGGTTGTATTTGTGTAGGAAACAGCTGATAGTTGAGTAATTCCTCTCAACGGTTGCATTTATCTTTGAGACAAAAAGAAAAACGAAGCTTCTCTCGCCTAATACACACGTCATCTGATTGCATTGATACCATGTCGCGCATTTCTACCGTTAAACTGTATATAGACAACACCGTTCTGCATTCCTGGCAGTATATTCGACAGTACAATTGTGGATGCAAAAGTCCGTAAGTCTGTAGACATATGGTTTAAATGTCTGTGTGGCTTTGTCGATAGGTGAGAACAAACGCAGTAAAACACTATATGTAGGGTCAAACTGGAAAGAGGAGATTTGCAGTTCAATTGGAGGAAACTAGCTTCCTCTAGGCTCTCTGAGAGGAATAAGAAAAGGCTCATAAGAAGACAGTTTTTGAGAACGGACGTTCTCAACTTATTTTGTTCTAACTTATGTAAGAATGAATGCCTCGCTCCATGCCATGGATACTCAAGGTTCATGAAAATATGACCTGTCTCTTATTCAGTAATGACTTTGTGTTCACATACAGTGATTGAAGTGGTCATTGTCATTCAATATCTACAGACTAAAAAACAATGGCAGGCCACTGTGGAGCCCTTGGTGGTCCCGTAATAATAACTATGAGAACACTGCTTACATGTTTTCTGTGTGAACCTCAGGATTACTTTCTAAGTCAAACAACTCTTCAGCTAAAGAATGGGGAGTGGTCAACAGACCCCACGGATAACCAACTACTCCCCCGTGAATATCACGGTAAAATGAAATTCGTTACATACGTTACTCGATGAATTAAAACCCCAGTTACTACTGAATGACCACAGTGAAATTCCTGCATTTTGTCGTGCGTGTTGCAGAAAGTGCGACGTGCCGAGAGTTGTTGGTATGTCTTACCAGAACGCAGCCTCTGAGGTGGAAGAAACGATCTATTACGACGCCAGATTTCATAAGTACGATTGTTGGACAGGTAAATAAAAGAACGTATTTACTGCGACAAGTACTTCATTGCAAAACTGATGGCTAATTACAGCACTGTGCTCCGTTACTATTTGAGCTACTATTACCATATATTGGAAGTGGAATCGGGAAGAACTGGGTGACTAATTACCACGTCATACTGCATTATCGTGGTGGTCATCGCCCCAATCATCTTTGCGTTCCGCCCGAGTTAAATGAACTTTGCTTGTCGCCAAGATAGCGGAAACAATAATTGATGAGGTCACGACAAATTGGCGGTAATCAAGTTGACAACGTCAATGATTTGTGATGGTGGACCAGTTCAGTGTTCGTCATTACATGAAGCGCTGATGTATCCAACGCAGTGATGGGCACTGCATATTGTTATTGCATCTTCGTCGTCGGTTTTACATTGCTGGATAATGTGGTCGATACTCTATCTCAGCAAAAGAACTTCCCATTCAGTAAGACCATGAGAACGGTGTTTCCATGTGCAATGAAAACTGTTCGCAGCATCTTGGGAACGGCTACAACGGAATGAATTTTCAAATGTGGTCAATGTACAAAGAAGATTGGCGCTTATGTTACTGCCAAAACAAATTCTTTCCGTGTTTTGTCATTTCCATAATTTGCCTCCTTGGAATCGTAGTGCATTATTGTGTACCATCTGGGGCTCTGGTTCTTTTAACAATGAAGGGTTTGTGAATTCACCTACAGACGGCACGCATTACGCTTGTTTTTTGTTAGTATTTCTGAGACTTGTTGTACGTCGTCACTGGTGGTTTTAGGGTCACCAACTATAGAATTTCAGGTCTGTCCTTTCTTGAGGTTAGTGTTTTCTTATCGGAAACCTTCAGCTAGCTGAATTTTCGGCTTTGTGATAGGCTATATTTGAAATTCAAATCACTGTAAAAGGCAAATGTGAAACATCTTATGAGTATGCATTTCAAACTCGTCCCCTGAACTTGATAACAGTGCATGTGATAAGCTCAGTGACAATTACGAAAGCGGGCTAACCTGTAAACTTTGTTGTTCATTGCCTTTCCTCGCTTCTACTAACTGTGCCATAAGCTGATCACTCTGCTTGCGTTCGTTCGACAGCTTCTCTTCAAATCGCTGACGCTCCGTTTTGCATTGTTCCATGTAAGCATCGTATCTAGTGTGATGGACCGGAAATTGTAGAACATTAGAGTAATAGACATGCGTGTATAGAAGAGATAAATTGGATGGACTGAAAATGTGCATGCGGAATGACTTTGTCGTCTACGGACTGTGTGAGAAATAATCTCATGCCAAACAAAGGTGTCTTCTTTACTGAGTGGCAGATTTACAGAACCTATGTGAACGAAGGAACCCAGAATCGGTTTACCCCTTATGGATCAGTTAGTATTTTTTCCTTAAACTCCGTAAGAACGATCCGTCAGAAATTCTTGAAATGTTAAAGCTTATTATGTACACTCTCTTGGTAAATCAGTAAGTGAAACTTCTCAGTCTAATTGTCGTGTCTATTGGTAAATGATCAGGTGGCTTTTGACCTGTTCGCTGAGCTCAAGATGAGCTTCGAGTCAGTTACCAACTCAGAGAAAATATCTACAGCCACCTGAACAAGTACCAGTGAATGAACCCAAGATACCAATATTTCAACACCGTTGTCTCTAATGTTGTGGTTATGGAGGTATTCTGCACACCAATAGTCAGCAAGATATACAGGACGTAAGCACTTTCGCCCCAGAAAATTTCTGGGCATAAGGTGCGGCAAAAACATGCCACTGTAAACCGAGGTATTTCAAACCCAGACAGATAGATGCTCTTCCAATAAAAACCTTGTTCAGTCAGAAAGATTCCATTCACATGCCAACTTACGACTACTGCGAGTGTTATTTCGATTGGTGCCTTAAATATTTTCCGTTCATCTGAGGCTTATGAGTTAGAATAACTCCTATTTACGTTTAGGTACGCGTTACTGAGATAATGTATTCAAAAGATTGTTTACCCCTCTTTTATGAACTATTAGTTATTAGCTTCATGCGAAATACCATCCTTCTAATTAAAATCACCAAACGATACATTTCTGGTCAGTTTAAATCGGAAACGAAAATAATGTTGTACAAGTACATTTGCCATATTACAAGCAATACTGTTTCACCTCGATTTATACTGCTTAGGGTCGTATACTGAATTCGTAGTTTATCAATTTCCATTGCAAGTATTGTTTTTTTTCTTAGGTTTGCTTGACCAGTCAAACCCACCGGTTTTGCAGTTGGTGTAACTTGTTTTCCGTGATAGCACGCAATTCCTCCATCTCTCTCATCTCTGCCTCTAGCTTGCTCTTCTGCTGGCTCAGGACCTTGATTTCATAGGAAAGCTGTTTGTTTTCTTGATCTTGGTCTCGCTGCTGGCATTCCAATTTCTCATAGGCACTTTCGCTGCTTTCCAGTTGTTTGTGCAGCTCTGTCAATTCGTCCAGCAATGTTTGGCTTTGCTCATTCTTCCTGTTCAGCTGTTTTTGAATCATTTCATTCTTGATAGAGGCAGAAGAGAGCAACTGACGAAATTCTTGCGAACATTTTCTTTCAGTTCAAATAACCAGTGAACGAGAAACGTTGGATAGAGGAACAGGTCAATTAGGCTATATATCATATTCAATAGAACATTTGAAAACTTGACAACTCGAGGTGCTTGACATCCTCGAAGAAGACAATTTATCCTTAGCCCATTTCTTGATCCGTATAATCATCCGTAAGATTTTAGACTACTGTTTGGAAAAACATTGCTTATTTATACAGTTTTTAAGCTTGAAAACACCACAGGCGAGAGATTCAGCTGGGTTCCATGTGAGTCTCCTGTCACAACAAAATTGGTATGCAATTTAGTGTAGTACGCTAATTTCGTGCAATTTGGTTTCAAGTAGAACATCAGGTTGACGAAAACTCGGGGATTGCGTCTATGTGATTAGCCCCAAGAAGAGCGAAACCGATTGTGGGCTGTCGAAGCTTTTTTATGAGCAGTGCACCACGCCTATACAATGTTATCTTCTACTAGCCAGTCACAAGTCCACATTTACCAGATGGTGTCACATTGCGTGGTCCCATTGATTTTGTAGGTTGCATTAAAATGGTCATTTTCGCTGGGACCTATCGACAACTATTAATTTACGTTTCCTACAATTGCCAGTCCTCACAGGTGATTAATTCGTTATGTGAATCGGCCCATCAATACCAACTATACTGAGAGATCGCCGGGCCGACAAACGCAACAGCTACAGTGCCCGAATAATCAGTACTATCACTAAAGTTACGATTGATTTCGGAGACTAAAAAACGTCCACTTATCAACCTTTCATCTAATTTCTGCTATTTCCGCTCTCATAAAAGACACTCACTGAATATAGGACTAAACTTGGGCTTGGTGATAAATTTATGTGAAATCATATTCGATAATCGAATATTCGACGTGGGGTTGGTGCTTGTTCTGTAAGGTGAACATTGGTGGGCATACTGTTTTTCAATTAGTGGTGTGCTCTATTCAAAGGATCATCTTTTCTTACAAACCGTAAAAAACAAAATTGATCACTGGCATTATCTTTTCCATGCTTTTGTCTCCTTTGAGGTTCTCTATTAAGGCGAAGGAGCGCTGTTTATAATAAGTTCACTAGTGATCATGACAGTCTTTCACTGCTCATCCACTAAGCGCACTTGTAGCAACAGAATAAGTGTTCAAGCGCGTACACGTGAATCTGAGTATGATCTGCACTTGTCCACTGTCTGAGACCGTCCTATCGTTAGCCTTTAGTCCGCTCGGCTTCTTTCTAAAAATATCTGAATGCTGCACACAGATAAACCATAGAGAGTAACTAGAAGCCCACAGCTGTCCAAAATGCTGCCAGACAGCCGCCATTGTCCTGGATATTTCAAACCAAAATCAGTTGGAACATCAGATAGCGAGCATTAACCGTTGTCTTAATCGTTTGACCAGCATATACAGAACGAAAATTCATGCGGGTACTGTGGTTACAAACGTTATATGATTCGATACCACTACTACCACACATTTAGAAGCAGTAGATTGAAACTATTAAGGCCGTTGCAGAAGGGAACAAATTATGTATCCGAATGGCCGTTGATAAACCAGTCTGAAGCATAGTGTCTTAAACAACTTATGCTAATAGATATCTATCAGTACATTATTAATTAACAATAGCAATAAATTTTGTATACCTGGTCCTTTAACTCTGCGACTTCTCTTCGCAGTCGACTATTTTCGCTTCGCAGTTTATCCAGTTCAGCTTCCAACTCCTTTATGCGAACCTTCCATTTCTGTGACAGATCTGATACCTCCGGCACTCCATAAGTGATTTCATCTATAAGGACAGTAATCCTTTCTTGCACCGTTAGTTACCTTTCAGCCTTGCTTCTGTCTGTGTGCTGTCCGACGATGTGGTGTCTTTTTTGGCAAATGGATTATTCATTCGTTTTATGGAACCTGGCCAAGGAAATAGTCGCCGCAATCTACGTGCAATATGCTTCTTTCTTACCAAAATTACTGAGCAGTATGGTGAGTATTTCAACTAAACAGAGAGACCCGTGAGTTTACAGAAAAAATGAGGTACACTTTCAGTATTGGGTGAAGTGAGGGTTTGTCCGAGTAATCTGAAACAGGAAGTATGATTGAAAATCCTGCTTCTCATGGAGTAAATGCAGCAGATTCTCGAAATTCCTATATATTTGTGACTCAAACACACCAGTGCAAAGTATTCGAACTGTCGGATACTGCAAGTGAGGTCAGTATACGCTGGCAACTTTCATCCCGCCTAGCTGGACACCAATGAGGACCATAAATTAAGATCATTATTATTCATGAGTGCTAAACTAATATCGAAAAGATAGGGTTTGGTATCAACTCGCTGCATGTAGAGATACGGTACCTCATCGGACAAAGTTATCCTCTTCTGCCGCCATCCATCCGTCTCACAACTGAGACGAGTTCCAACGAATGAGCACCCTAAGCACACCTGACTTCACGTTCAAATCCGGGCTTGTGAGGCTGGTCTCGCCAATGTGCGGTGTAATACGTCACAAATAGTTTCGAAATCAGCCGTTCCAAGTTACAGTCAACCAGAAAATACAGCCGAAATCTCTTTTGTGACAGTGTCTTCTTCGAGAATAAACCAGCTACTAAGGAATCAGTGAATTCCATGTTCCCACATCTGAAGGATCGTTTCTCTGTTGAAAATTACATGGGAAGAAAATTCCTTGCTTCCAACACTGTGTTCCTTGCGTATCAGTTTCGAAATAATATTCCTCTTATGGAAGATGTTTGCTAACACTCTCTCTCTTACTGTCACTCTCACTCTAATGAGGTATTCGAAATCAGTTTCCAGACCGGCTTCTGCAAAATAGTAGACTGAAGTGAATTTTCTACGTGATATGAAAATTCAAGGCGTGATTCTCTGATCTACTCAGGTTTCGCAAATAAGCTATTAAACGGCATTTCCAGAAAATCTTCCCAATTTTTACTAAATGGATAAAGTAGCATCTATTTGGCTTGGCACATTTATGAGGTCCTCCCTAAAGAACTTGAAAATCTGAAAAAATCTAACTGTTCAGAGGCGGTTAGGAACAGTAGGTGGCCTGCTGGCAAACCATGTATGAAGATACCTTGCGGGTGACTAGAAGTGCTTTTTTATCACAGCTTAACTGTGATCGTAACACTCATAAGGACAGTTACGTAACTTTTTGAGCCGTTTTATTTTCAGATTATTTCTACGTGAAAGTCTTAGCATGTCAAATTGGCCAAGCCATGTAGTTAGTAAGACACTCGGTTGCTGATTTTGGAAACTCACTACGTTCGGCGATAGCCTCCGACAAGAAAAAAATTGTGAAATTATTAGCTTTGGCCACACCGTCCCTTTCCAAGGCCTGTCAAACAAGGGCGTAGTTTCTTATGCTTGGTTGATTCACACTACAGGTTTTTACTCGGTAGTCACGAAGTGCATCAGAGGTGGTTGTCTCCAACATAGCGTTCGACTGGCCGCATAGTAGGTGTATAGATATACGTAGGGTATATTGCATCAGTTTCGTTCCGATGAGCTTTTTGAAATTTGTGTACTTGAAAAAAGTGCTTTAGTCTGTGTTCATTTCGATGATTCCTTCTAACATTTTCGTTATTTCGGGAATTTTTGCAAGTTCACCAATGATGTTTAGTGAACATTCTGTTCCTCCCTCTGCACTGATTCTTTGCACATCGACAAAATCCGAATAATTGGGTTAAGAAAGTGAAGTGGCGAGATGTGTCTTATTGCGAAATTCATAGTCCACATTTTCTGATGCGCTAAAAGTAGATCGATCCCCAAGGTCTTTGTTCAATCTGGTTCGACGTTGTTGAAGTGTTTTCATTGAACAGCTCTGTCTTGTAAGTGATGTTAGGTGAACTATCATTAGAGCGGAACTAATTTTCGGAAAATAAGAAATCGCACATAATTTTTCAAAAATGGAGTATGTTAGAGAAAATCGTTGGTAGTAACAGTTTTTGTCATGACGATAACTGTTGGAAAACGTGAGCTCAAAATATGTCTTAGTCGTTCGAGAATCGGGAAGATCCTCCGTTGACTAAGGCCATGCAGGACGGACTGGAGCATTACTTGGCTAACCGCAGCATGCCTCATGTGTGTTGCACGGCTGACTTATTTGAAATGAAACTGACAACACAGGGAAAAGATAGCACTGTTGTTTTCAAATTCTTGGAGGCTACGATTCAGCCGTCAAACGGTAATAATTCTCACATCAAGATTTGCAGAGGATCGTCAATGACATGAGTTTGCAGACCGAGCGGCTAAATGGCTGACGTAGTTGAGTTAAACTTGGATGTGCCTCACGCATACACCTGTCCATGAGTTCACGTGTTTGTACACTTCTGAATCCAACTGCATCGCTTTCCTCACCCGACCTTGCAATCACGGGTAATCAACCAAGTACGCTGAAATCTTAAAAACGTGTGTTTGTTCAGAATCCGCTTTTCTCCCCTTGGAAGTTCATAGTCTTAATGGCATTGAAACATTGGTTGTTGGTCTCTTCGCCGAGCTTGTCAGTTGGATTGCAAACGTTTCATCACCAATCGAGGTGACATCGTCAGTGCAGGGTTGAGTGGATGAATTCCCCCTCTTCTGCCTGTGATTATATAGCTTCTAAACAGTATCTGGTAGTTCTGGAAACGGATTAATTGGGTCAAAGGAAAACAATCACGAAAAACAGAAGGCCAGTCAAATGAGCAAAACCCACCCCACAAAGCAAGAAGGAAACGTCCGAATCACAGCATGACAACTACATACAGAACTGCTTAATTGAATGCACCCAACGAACCAACCAGACACAGGAGGTTGAAACCACGTGAGATTCACAGGAGACCAATCAAACTACACGACGACCGTTTCCAGAACTACCAGATACTGTTTAGAAGCTATATAATCACAGGCAGAAGAGGGGGAATTCATCCACTCAACCCTGCACTGACGATGTCACCTCGATTGGTGATGAAACGTTTGCGATCCAACTGCCATGCTCGCCGAACAGACCACAACCAAACAGCGCACCCGAGCTACCTACATTCCACGGCATTTAAACATTCTATGTGTGAATTCGTGTAAATCGCCTTATTGCTTTTAGAATATTTGAACCCCATTGATAGATAACGCGAGTAAACTTGAAACGGATACTGCCACAGTGTGCGTTGGGTTATTTCTTCCCAACCGGACACATACACATTTCCAAGGCTCTGTAAACAGTGCATGGAAAAATATGGTCGTTGACTTGTTCGCTGAGCTGGGCAATTTGGTTGCATCTAATTTGGTTGCAACCAAATTGCCCAGCTCAGAGAACAAGCCAACGACCATCTACGCTACCTGAGCTACCGACATTCTCCTCTATGGAAAAATATTGTCTTTGTGCAGTGTTGGGAAGTCTTTGAAGAATTAATCGGTTGGGCAGACGTCATACAACAAGAGCCGTACTGCTCGATAAAGGGGTATATTTTCGAACTTCTGAATATAGTCTTGGCTAGCATACGGAGGAACTTTTGGTGAATCACATCTAGAAAACGACTTTGCGTCACAAAATCCATCTTGATGACTTCATGGACGCGGGTTGTTTTCATTATAATTAAAACATTTTTATTCATCATATTTGGTATAGGTTATCCGAGAATTTCCAAAGTGCTCACTACAAAAAGAAAATAAGCTCTTTCTTCTAGATGATCCCCTCCTGAGGCAATCGCTTATGCCAGACTTCTTAAAACACCCATGAATAACAGTTAATCTCATGACAGACCACCTTGTAAAAGAAACCTAATATGGTGGCACAATTAATGTGGTGTCACCAGAACGGGAAACTATGTATTTGGCGATAGATATCCCTGAGGTCAAACAATCGTTCTTCACTCACATGCATTTATTAATGCAGGTCTATCCGCCCCCGTAGTGATAGAAGATATTGTAACAGTGTTGCAGGGTTTGCATAAGTTGCTCTCAATCCAGTTGTTACATATGAGGAAAGATTTTTTGTCTAGTTAAATCAGCACGTGCAGTCAGAACATAGTATTGATTATCCCTGTTCAGTTGATGAGATAATTCCACGTTATCCAAACCCAGATTTATGTCCATGGTAGTTCGACGGCCAACAATTTGCCTTGCATCTTTCCAAGGTGCTCTTATGGTTCAAATGTTTTCCCCTACTTTGTCACAGGACCACCTGGGTCTGACCATAAATTAGTTAAATTGTCCGGAGATGGTATGTTTTTGAGCGTGTAATTTCTACGGTATGGCTGAACAGCACTGTGGTGAGATGCGGCTGGGTGTATCAGGCACGGACTTTGTAATTTGGCGTTTATTTAATAAACCCAACGGAAAATATGTCACCAACAGATCTCGCTCTAACTTGGGCCTTGATATTCTCACATTAACTGTTGTATGTCTACGTTCCAATCCATGCTTTGGAGCACAGAGACACACACCGAAGTATGCTGTGCGTACAGGTCATGTACATAAGTTTTCCCCTCTAACCACCCTAATCATGCAACGACAGTTCGGTGTTAATCCAGACTTAACTCTAGTTTATAAAACTTGGTGACCTTAAGACAGCGAAACATGATAAAAACTTTTTCGGACCGTTACGCAATGTTCTGAGCCACGTATTATTGCACGTTTCATCAGACATAAAATGACCGCGCTTCGCCTTCCTCAAGCTTTGCCATGCTTGTTTCGCCAGACATTTTAGTTTGTGTGAGAGTTTGAAAAAACGAATTGCTTCTATAAGCCAAAGCTGGAATATAAAATAATTTTGACGTTCTATTAACTCTCGAGAAAGATGATCAAATGGTATTCCTAAGTACTAATTTTGGGTAAAGTCTAAGATAGTCCGAAAAATTTGAATAGTTCAAACTAGACGCAAACTGAACATCTGAAAAGCGCCTCATAGTAGGGTAGCCCGCATAATATAGAGCTACATATTCTAGTAACGATGTACACTGCAAGCTGGTTCCACATGATATTCATGTTATGTGCTTCCCCGAAGAACC